CTAAAAATATAAGATACAAATTCTAGTGTTGGTTCCAGCACACCACTCCCCAGTGACCTTCTACAGCACTATAACTAATGGAGGGATGGATTTCAGCTGTTGCTGCATTTCACTTTATTCGGTTTTCTTTCAGTGTACCTACATGTCTGCAGAGCTCTCACGGTCTGCTCCGTCATCACCGGCTTCTTTGGAGGTGTCCTCACACTCATAGGGATGAAATGCACTAAAATAGGCGGGTCAGAGACTGCCAGTGCAAGAGTGACCTTTGCAGCTGGTATAACCTACCTGGTTTCAGGTAAAAGAAACCATCCAGGGATATTATATCATAACATCAAACTTAAAATATAAAACAACAGTGAAATATGCATTCAGGATGTTTAATAAAAGCATATTTTATGCTAGCATTCTGTGGAATGATTACCTACACATGGTGGGCCAACAGATCCATATCAGACTTTCTGAACCCAGCTTACCTGCAATTGAAGTGAGTCCTTTTCCAGCAGTTTGAATATTATAACAAGTCCCTTATAAATTACATTTTAAAACAGCGATATTTAAAAAGTGCAGAAAAACAAACCACAACCATTGATATACCTTTATATTTGCTGTTCAGGTATGAACTTGGAGCTGCGATTTTCATTGGCTGGGGAGGCTCGTTCCTTCTCCTCTTTGGAGGGATGGTACTGAGTTACTTCTCTGGAAAAGAATGTTTCCAGTCGAGGTAAATATAGTCACTCAAACTGTGTTATTACTGACCACAACTATCTGTACTGCATCTATATCAAAGCCAAAAGTAGTACAAGTAATTGCTTGAGTAGAAACACTAAGATAAATGAACTTCACTGTGGTGCTCCACTTTCAACCTCAGTTCCCTGAAAAGGCCTCTGAGACCATTCACTTATGCCACCGCCCAGACCAGACGCACCTACATGATGCCACCCTCATCGTCCAGAGCGACTCTGATGCCACCGCTGTTGTATGAAGGCAGGCGGAGTCGAGCAGCCGGAGCGACGACAAGGACTGGTCAGACCTTGAACAGGGACACCTTTGTCTGAGCTGGTGGGAAACTCTGGTTGCTTTTTT